AAGTCGATAGTGCTACAAGAAGTTATAGGGATCGTTGCTGGAAGCGCTGAAACTGATCCTGTTGGTATTCTCTCTGGTAACTTGAGTTGGTAAATGTGAGAGTATCTGTTTTTTCTCAGCTCCAAAATTGTTGAAAGTAGGAGCCTGTGTTTATGAAAGTTCTTACAACAGAGACCTGAATCATACAATTTACACTGGATTTATGGGCACTGTCTTCTTTACTCAGCTGTCTCTTGTCACAGGGGAAATGGGAGGATGCCCAGATTCCAAGGGAGTGTTGTCTGTTCTTATGAATCTTGATGATTATTCACTTACACATACCGGTTGTTAAGTGTAGACCTGAACCACTGTTTTTAGCCCTTCTGCTTGGAAGGAATTTCTTTCCTTCTCCCCATCCAGCGGGTCTGTGGAGGTATCTGACTGCTGGGATGTGCATGAGAGCCTCCTTTGACTTAAAAATACAAGTTCCTACTGAATGGTCCATTGCTTATTTTAATGGTTGGTCTTATAGTTCCCATATGGTAGCATTGTGAAATGAGCTGGTTCTTCTCTATATTGCTGTTATTCTTAAAGTTCCAAGATGAAGACTGAAAAGGTGTTGGCTAGTTTTCACCACAGCTTGGGAAAACTGTGAGCCTCGGCAGAGGGATCTGTAACTCTGTTGCATGTGATAGTTTCTGCTTAATCTTTGTTCGGAAAGATGACTTTGCGAGCTCTACAGCTAGGAACTTAGAAGTGCAATACTAGCTCTTTAGAAGTGTGCTGCATTGTTTAATCTAACACTATAGAAGTGGCTTAATAGCTTTCCAAAGAAGAAAGGAAAAGTTTTACTATTTTTTACCAGATTAAAAAAAAAATACAGGCGTTTTCTTCACATGACTGCCAGTGATGGAGTAAATTTTTACACCTGCACCATAAAGCAAGCAGACAATAGGTTGTTGTATGTATTACGCATATACGTGACTATCTGATACTGTCTGCAGAATAGGCACAATATACTGTTCGAAAAGTATCTTCCAGGTTCTATTTGATAATGTGGGGGGAAAAAAAGCAATAGAACCTGTTCTCCAGTTGCTGGAACATATATAAAAACCAAGTCAAGTTTTTCCCTGTAGGAAGCAGCTGGAATGCAAAATATCTTCAACTTCAGTTCTTAGACATTTTTTCCCTATTTCTGTGGGTTCATCCTATAGCAATAAGGGAAACTGTAAAAATTACTATATACCAGCCGCTGAAACTTGAAGCGCATTGGGAGAGCAGGGTTGACTGCTAAAAGGTATTTCAGTTCTGTGCCAGCTGTGTGGAATAATAATTTCTGTAGCTTTTCTTGAAATTGTTGAACTATAGATGAAATGCTGTTTTCATGTGAGAGTTCTTGTTCTGCGTGTTTCAGGCAACTCGTTTATGTCTATAGACAATCCTTTATTACATCTTCAGGGAAGAAGGTTTCTGTATGACTATTTTTCACAGAAGAATAATTCTCAAAATTAGAAGTAGCAATTCTCGAAAGACTGCTCTTTTAGAGCTTTGCTGAGTGACTTTCAGAGTAAAGGAATACAGCCTTTAGAAAGCCTCAAAGGAATGTAATAAGGGATAATACTACAGATGCTTATAAATGGCTTCTTGAACGTGTAGTGTGAATGTATAGCCTTTATTTTCATTAGTATTTTAATGTTTTGATTTATCTCTTCCAGCTTCCTATGTAATTCAGCTTGACTTTTAATTACCCATTAAGGGAGTGATCAATGCAACCATACAACTGCTGATAATTTTACATAAGTTGTTCCTGGTAATACTATGAAGCTAAGCTGGAAATAATTCAGTTGGTTTTGTCACCATATTTATCAGATTTTTGTATTTTGGGTGTTCTGTTCAAAATTCAGTAAAGTAGTACATGCGATGAGTGGGATGCAATCCTACAGACTTGAGGTTGTTGGGACACTGGCTGACATGAAAATCGGTCATAGATCAGATTTTAGTTGAGTAATACTAACTTAATTGTAATCAATGGATAAGTAGGGAGCTTTAAGCATAGATTTGTTTTTTTAAAACTGGGTGTCTACTGAAATCATGGACTTAATAATCAGTATGTGGGCAGCCAAGATTATTGCTACTTAGTACGGAAGTTCATTTATAGCTTAGTCTCTACCAATAAACGTAAGTTATTGCACTTTTCGTAAGCATACACCAAAATTGGAAAGTACATCAAATTTGCCAAAAGGGTAAAACATATTGCAGCATATGCCAGCCCAAGCTAAGTACTGTGTGTTACATTGCTTCTTTTGTCTTTATAGTTGAAAAAAAAAAAGTCGCCTGTGGTCACTTCTTAAAAAATGCAATGAAAGTCTTGTAGGAAAATTGAACTTAAGTCGGGTATTTGGATACTAATGTGCTTACACCTCCTTCGCAGAACAGCTGCTTTTAGGTCACAGTTGTTTGACACTCACCTCTGGCTTTGTAAAGATTTGTGTGTTTGTAACAAGAGCTGATACCGTGCTGCAGTGATCCAGAACGGCAAAACTGCAGCCTGCTTCCAGGCGCGTGTCTTAATCTGTCAGGATCTCTTTCCACGCACAGCTGATAGACTTGCCTATCTCTAGTTAGAAGCACGCAAACAAAAGTTCTGATAATGTGTGACCCAGAAAACAACTCTGACGCTAGTAAGGTGAAGAAGGTGAAGGATGTGGAAACGCATGTTATTTCTGCATGGTTATTTCTGCCATGTTGACTTACATAATACAAAGTGTAAACAGCTAAAGCTAGTGAGATCAATTAACGGTAACGAAGCAGTCTCATGTCCTTCCAGAGCCTTGTACATAGCATTTTCTTCTAACTGTTATGAAAGCTTAAACAATATTTAAGTCTTAAGGCAGGGTGCGGTTGCATAAACACAGGTGTCCGGTGTCCATTTAGACACAGCAGAGTATGATGCCAATGCAAAAGGCTGTGCATCACCTGCGTGGGCCTTACTGTCGTATCTGCCAGTGCTGTGGAGGTGTTTTAGAGGCACTGTATTCAATATTACTTAAACTTCGCAGTATTAATGAATTTAGCATTGTGGTTTTTACTGTTATGCAGCTGAAATACTGCATGTTTTTGAAAAATAGTTCAGTGAAAGAAAAACTGTAAAATGGGAAGACTTCAGTGTTTCTAGAAAATCAGGTTGTACTGCATTTTTTGTTGCATACCACTTGAAAAAAATACTCATACCAAGTTTTATTTTGCACAGCACAGCGCCCATACAGAAGTAGCCTTCCGTCTAGCTGCTGTGTGGTGCAAATACACATTTTTTAAATGATAAATAAGAAAACACCTGTATTTGTATAATGGTTCAGTTTTTAGCCTGTACTTGGTTGGATTAAAACAGCTTATTTCCCAGTCCTTTCTCCATTCATTCGTTGCACAGATTGCTTCTCGCACAGTCATATTTGTTTCTATCACATGTTTACATTTGTTGGTCAATCTACTAAATGGATGTGTACGTGCTGCATTTGATAGTACTAAACTGGCGTGCGGGTTCCTGTGCCGTGCTAGCGCTGTGTGCATGCGTGCTCCCATGTGTACAGCCATAGAAGGGTGTTCCTCCATCATCAGAGAAATCCCTTTTCTTGACTCCCTATCCTTTTCCAGATGAGTATTATTTAAATGCTCCTCTTTATTTTGAAGGATGGAGGGCAAAGGCAGTCTGCTGGCAAAAGGAACCCTCTCCTGCCCTCTGGCTTCTCTTACTACTTGATTGTAGTGCTATTTATCTCTCCTTCACAGCTGTTAGGTACTCTGGGAGTGAGGTGGTCAGAAGAGAGGGTTGTGGCTTCTGAGAGTGGCATGTCCTGTCCCAGGGCTAACTTCCCTTCTGTCCCCTGCAAGCCGAGCTTAACTTCCCTTCTGTCCCCTGCAAGCCGAGCT